TGGCATGGAGGACAGGGAGGTGGCTATTGCTTGGAGGGAGAGTCCCCCTCCCTACGACCATGTGTCAGGGCCAGGAAATGGCCGCAGACCACATGTCAGGGGCGGAAAAATGGCCGTGGACCACGTGTCAAGGGCAGAAAAATGGCCGCGGACCATGTCATGGGAGGGAAAATGGCCGAGGCGGAGTTCGCAAACCGAGGTAAATTTTTGCGGCCTGCGCTGGTCGTAACCTGAAAAGTTCATTAGCAGAGGCTTTCGTAACCCAAGGTACCACTGTATTTAAGTTTTCTAGGCTTAGACAGATAAAAGCAAAACAACCTTCTTGAGAAAGAATGAATGGATGAACAAAACAGTTTCTCTAAAAGACAACTCAGCAAATGAAACAAAAAAGGAGGATAATAACTGTCTTGTAATACTTGTCTAAAGAATGGAGCTACTAATTCCAGCACAAGTACCTATACACATGGTACCAATTGTTCCTCATCAGTTGGCCTGCTTAGCTGGGAAATGAGCCTTGGTAACCCAGCTTGTCCATGGTTATACCTCAACAGTAATGAGAAAAGGAACTCATGCTTCACCAAAAAATTGTAAAAATGGTAAAAAATGTGATCCCACAGTTATCATAATCTTGAGAATAAAGAGAAAATCTTGTGATGTTTCTTTCAGTAAGAAACCCACAAACCCTCAAGATTTATCAGTTAGATATCATTTTTATATCCTGGATAAGAAAACAGAGAAAATAATGGTTATTAATTTAATTTTGAAACTTCACACAACAAGGATCACATTAATTTAATGTTGAAAGTTCACGTAACAAGAATCACATTGCCAGAATGCACTGGCCATTTTAACACAACTAACTTTTACACATCCTGATGTGACTACATTTAATCTTGAATCAGGAAAGATAGAAGGATTAGCATAAGTGTTAATCAACTGATCATAATAGTGTCATGTATTTGTTAAACAGACTACAGGTAGTCCTCAGTTTAAGAACGAGTTCCGTTCCCAAGGTCTGTCCTTAAGGTGAATTTCTATGTAAGCTGGAACAGTATTATGATACAATACTGTATAAGTAGTATTGTGTAATCAACTCAAACCATTGTGTATTTAACTCGAATCATTGTGTATTTAACTTGAATTTTGCTACAATAGGCTCTGTTCTTAACTATGGCTTGTCCTTAAACTGGGCATTCTTAACCCGGGGACTCCCTGTATTGCTTTCTTTATATATTGCTCTCCGTAATCATGATGGGAGCACAACTGCAGAATTTTTCATCTAGAATGTACCTGGGGAAGGTTGATGTAGAACACTACTTTCACCATCTGAACAATTTAAATCTGCCATTTCCTTTGCAACTAACTTCCTTCTTCCCTGTGCATATTCCTTAATTTCTTAATTTCCCTAGGCAATGGAAGAAGTGGAAACACCCATGCATACATATAGAGTAATGCTGCTTAACTTCTTAATCTTTTTCAGTTCAAAATCACCCACTACAAGTTTTTGTTTGTTTGTTTGTTTACCATCTATTCAGGTAAGTAACTAAACCAAGGCCTCTGTATTTCCACTGGATGTTTCTTTCAGCAATAAAAAGGTTACACAGAAAAGACCATGTTACAGTTTTTTAAAATGGAGAGGAAAATGTTAAGCAGTATATTTCATTGTCTCCCACTCAGAAACAGCTAATACTGCTTGCCTACACACACATACAAAATAGAAGGAGGAACATCAAAAAATTCCATATAATATATCACTTTATTTTTACATTATTGTTGCAAGTCAGGCTCCTTCTTAAACTGAATGTCTTTTAAAATAGTAAGCACATCATTGGTGGATTTTTCTTCTGAAAAATAATGTACACTATTCTCAGGTTGTCTCAGTAATAATATAAACATGTCTTTTCCTCTCAGCTCTATTTAAGAATACAGTTAATCTTTGATTTAAGGGACTAAGTGAGGGAGGATGTCCATTATATCTGAATGTCTGTTAAATATGAAAATATATCCTTTACATCAATTTAAATTGTTGGTGTAATGATGTCATTACACAAATTATATAAATTGCTCATTAAAGTAAAATGAATATAAACAAGACTACCTTTGATGCAGCAGGATTATATGTGACTTTGGGAGGATGTCCAGTTTGAAAGTTTGTCCATTGCATCCAAAGTCTGCTAAATAGGAGTTTGTTAAACAAAAGTATTCTCTTAAGTACTGGTTTTCCATTGCATAGAAATAAAGAAGCTGAGGTGATATAAGTTGGGGATGGAGTGTATCTATACACTCACAGAGAATGCAGGTGGGAGAACAACTGAGACTTACTCATCTTCTGTAGTTACCAAAGGCCCTTTCCAATCAGCCATTTTAGGCTGGTTCTTCAACATGTGGCTGCTCAGAACTTTAACATTCCTAGTAAAGGAAGTCCACATGGCTTCCTACGGCTTATATTTATACCTGGTCCTCGATGCCTCTTTTCCATCCATATGTAACAGTTATTCTGAGCAACACCAGTCTGTGAGTCCAGGAAAGGAAGACGCACGCTGCGCTCAGCACAGAGACGGGAATTGTAGCTGCGGCAATGCTCTATGGCTTCTTTGTAGAACTGGTCCCCAAGACTGCAGAGGAGAGAAAAAAGACAGAGCACCCATAAAGCAACTCTATCTATCCCAAGAATGAGCTAGCACAAATAGGGGAAGGAGTATGGAACAACATGAAACGGATAAAGGTCAATGAAAATGTATGTGCATAATGGATTGGTGACTTACAAGGCTGGGGTTAGTTACTTTTCTCTTTAGGACCAACACAAAACCTGACATGAGTAATATTGCCCAGACTAGTCTACAAAGGACCTGTCCCATTTATTTAATACTCCAAACTTCGTAGGTCACTGTAAAAATCTATATGCTGAATGTGAGAAAAGAAAATAAATAGATTCACTCCCTTGATAAGTCACAGCTCCCTCCATCATTTCTTGCCTGAAGAGCCATTAGAGTTGTCAAGTGACAGAGTTGTAGAGATTTTAAAAATCACAAAATCCCCCTTCAATCCAATCTGTCAGGCCCTGCCACTTGGGCAATCTGGCCTGCCATCACTCCTCCCCTCTCAGCTTTCTTCCATCTCTAACTAAGGCTCTCATACCTGAGCTACAAAAATCAGGGCAATCCCTAGAAATACTGAGAAGTCTGCTCATCCATGTTTTTGCAGCCCGGATTTGATAGCCCTGCCATTAACAGCCACCAGACACTGACTAAAAAAAAATGCACTTTAAATTGAGCAAAAGTAGACAAAAAGATATAAACAAATGAACAAAACATAACAAAACAATCTGCCTTCTGGCCTGATTCCTCCCTCATCCTCTATCCCCATCCCCACCCAAAAAGATGCAGTACCCTCTTTGTCCAGAAGCCCTGTTTCATTTCTCCATCTTCAATCCCTCAATTCCCAACCGGTTCAGCCAGAGTCTGGGAGGGAGGGAGGAAGGCAGGCAGGCAGGCAGGCAGGCAGGCAGGCAGGCTCTCCCCCTGTTTTTCTTGTCTCCTTGATTAGTAAACTGATAGAGTGACAAGGTATAAATCCAAAAAAATAAACCAAATAGGTTGGGGTTGACTTTTACAGGGGCAGTCTACAGTATGATCCATATATTGTCTATCAACACCACAGTGAATTATTAAGACAAATTATGATTTTAGCACAAGAACCAGGCCTGAGGACCAGAAGTCATTTTTAGCTGCTTCCAAAACTGGACATTCTCACACCAAGTGAAAATGCATCCCAGATCCACCTGCTGTGTCACCGAGCAGGTGGCACAGAAGGCAGCCATGCCAAATGACGCACAAGAAGGAAAAACAGCAGTGGCCCAAACCGCCTCAATCCAGAGCTGGCACAAAAGAAGATGCTGCCTGGAATGATGGATTATATACCTCCCTCTTCAATTCCATATGCAAAGCAGACAGCACTGTAGTTGAATCTTATTCTGAAACAGATGACAGTACAGCCAAGATCTACCAGCTACTAGAAGGCTGAAAGACACACATGGGTCTGCCTCCCCAACACTTTTCCATATTTCTCCACCCCATTATCCCCATTACTCCCAGCATCTGCAATCTGAAGCCCCTTTCTCTGTTCAGTCGGGCTGTCCTTGAGAGGGCTCCTGCATGAACTACTCCTACAGAATACATGTTTTGAACCTTTTTAGGGGGAAAAAAAGGGAGAGGAGACCAAACTGGTTTTAAACAACAGTGCCCATTTCACCATTATCTCTTATTCCTTTAACAGTTTCCACCTGACAGGCAATTATATAATTTAGCTGAAGACAAGTACACTTCTTTGTGGACAATTGTTGGTGCTGACACAGGCATCAGTCAGCAAGTTGAAAGCTTGTCATTTGGACTAATGGCTATCTTATGCAGTCCTTCAAAGGGTGCATTCCTCTCACAATCATGGGTTGTCTTGAAAGAAAGGCAAGAAGAAGAAGAAGAAGAAGAAGAAGAAGAAGAAGAAGAAGAAGAAGAAGAAGAAGAAGAAGAAGAAGA